GACAAAAAAACTGCTGACTCATTTCAATCCCAAACATTCGATTGCCGCTGCAATGTTCGCACACAAGCTCTGCCGCTCTGCGTGTTGACTACCAAAAAAATCTCAGGCAAAAACTTAACTATCTCAGTACCTCTTTTTTTAATCTTCTTCCATTGAAAGCCATTGCTCGCAACTACCAAAAAACGCCTGGGCAAGAACTTAACTTTCTGAGTCTTCCATTGAAAGCCATCGCCCGCAACTCAACGCCTAGGCAAAGACTTAACTTTCTCAGTTTCCCTTTTTTAAACCTTCTTCCATTGAAAGCCATCGCCTGCAACTACCAAAAAACGCCTAGGCAAAAACTTAGCTTTCTCAGTACCTCTTTTTTTAACCTTTGGTTCGAGCATTGTGATGAACTCACACAAATCAAACATGGCGCGCTGACAGTGGGCAGCTCCAACAGATTTCTTGGTCAGCAGCTGCTTCCATAATCGCCTATCAACCATTGTGGCTGGTTATTGTAGGTCATTGCTATTATCAACTGATAAGCCGCGAATTCAACAGTGATCAGCCATGGAGTTTCCATGTTTTTTTTCACCAACTAAGTTTTAATCTAGCTAATACTGACTTGATCACTATTTTATTACAATTGTACTAGTATGATTTGCCACGAAGTACCCATGATCGATCAGGGGTAGTGTTATCCAGAGTGGTCAAAGTGTGCTTTGATTTTTTGGTGATTGACAATTTGCTGTAAGAATGTGGTATCCCGACCCATGATGGAATTTGAACGGATGCTGTTCCCTCTTGCACCAATTCAATTGTGTGACTGACCGAGGGTCATGTTCAGTTATGACTGCATTGCTGTTTTTGTTCTGCTGTGTTAGACCAAGTAGTGCAAAATACAGCATTGAGCATTGGAAATTGAAACACCAAAAAGTTCAGTGGAGTTCCCGCGAACATGCAAACTTAACATTTTACATGTTCCATTTTGGGCGACGTTAAGTGTAGACCAATTTTGGCCCTTACATACTCCCCTTACACATTGCCAGCCCGGGCCGGGGCCGCGTAAGCAGCGTTAACGTGAACGCATCCGTGTAAGGACAGTATGAAGTTCGTACTCCCCTTACGCATTGCCAGCCCGGGCCGGGTCCGCGTAAGAGGAGTAGGTTTTCGCGTAAGGACAGTATGAACCCCAGCGCCGCTAGCGTACATACTCCCCTTACGCATTTACATACTCCCCTTACGCATTCTCAGCCCGGGCCGGCTCCGCGTAAGGGGAGTATGAAGTTCGTACTCCCCTTACGCATTTACGCTGGTACAAACGCTACTTTCCAGAGACACTAGACCTTGGAGTAGTCAGAGAATACAATCCAACGCTCTTGCTTCCGGAGTCTGGCTCACAGGCACATACGTTGATTAGTCAGTGTCAGTTACTACTGTAACAGCAGCCAATCTCACTGATAGAAAAGACATAAGCAAGTCAGCATAAGTATCATTAGCAATTCATTGTGACATTTTCGGAAATGAACTCAGACTCGCCGCCTTAGACCATGTTGTCCAAGTTGGCAACTAGAAAAAAAAACATGTCTGATGGTCTGACCTCGGGCAGCAAGCAGTCTGATGGTCTGACCTCGGGCAGAAAGTCTGATGGCCTGACCTTGGGCAGCAAACCAAAAAAATCAGCAGAAATGAAAAAACATTTCGATCGCATTCTCAATTTGGCCGAAGAAAAGGCTGGTGAGCCCAGCGCAAGTCGACCTGGAAGAGGTAAACTTCGTGTGGGGAGCGACTGTGCAGGAATGGGATCCGATTTAGCGGCTCTTACTTTGTTTGGGTTTCGCGAGCAAATCGAAACTTCAATGTGGTCCGATAGTGATCCCGACAAGAGGAAACTATATCGCCATGTTTGCTCCCTGTTAGATCTCGACGTTTCTCCCGTGTGCAAAGATATGTCAAAGAGGAATGCCGCAACAGCCCCATCATGTGATGTCTATGTGGCTGGCTACCCCTGTCCAAGTTACAGTGTTCTTGGGAAAAAGAAGGGCGTGCAGGATCCACGAGGACAAATCGAAACATTGTGGCGGCAGTGGGAACAAGGGCATCAAAACGAATTGATGAAATCCATCAAAATAGTGTGGTTAAGAAACGCTTCATCAAGTTATCCTGGGGCATACGACTCTTGATCAAAAATCAATGGTGTTTACATATGTTCTCTGTGGTTCCCTTGCCCGATGATGAGGTTGGCACAAGTAAAACATTGAGGGCGTCCCCATCTAGGGTAGATCCATTAAAAGATACACCGGGTTCAAAAACTAGACACTATTCAACAGTGATGCTGGCCAGGAAAATGTTTCAAAAACAATGGAACAATTGGCTAAATACTAGCACTTCAGAAACAATATCCAGTGAAATTGTGAAGCAGTGGTTAAAGAGTTCAGACCACCTTCATCTTGGGTAATATCATCCAAGATAAATCGTACAAAGATAGATCTAGCTCCAACAAAGGGATGCATATATACTCAACACCCAGTTGGTGATTTTTTGGATCGCCCTGCCCCCCTCCCCAGTTACATTTCTGACTGACAGAAGGTAATGGGATTAAACACTGCAATTTCTTCACAGAGGGGTCGGAAGGTCAGACCACCTTCCATTGGTTTGTTTGAATTTGTCTTCCTTCCAGGCTGGCTGCCAAACAAAAAATGGTGAAATTGGCAGCTCTCCCTGGTTTCATTGCTTTGATCGCTTAGCATGTCGGCACCTGTCAAAAAAACTCCAGCATTCCAGGTAGTGAGGTCAAACCACCTCCTCTTCAAAAAATCAAAAATAAACATTGTTTGATGGTTTAGCCTGTTGAAAAAATAAAACAATCCAGTCAGTGAAAGGGGTCAGACCACCTCCCTGCTGGCCATGCCAAAATTCTACAGTTTGGTTCCACAGCGCTGCCACTGGTGGCAACAAAATAATAAACAATCCAAAATAAAATGATCCAGTCAGTGAACAGGGTGAGACACTTCCCCTGCTGCCCAATCCATGCCAAAAAAATGAAACATCATGTGTTTTACATGGTTTGATTGTTTGATTTGTTGAAAAAAAATTAGTCAGCGAGAGGGGTCGCCTCCCCTGCTGGCCATGCTGCAGAGAATTCTACAGCTTGGTTCCACAGCGCTGCCACTTGTGGCAACAAAAAACAATCGAAAAGAACTGAGAGGGGTCAGACCACCTCCCCTGTTCCATGCCAAAAATGTTTGAAATGTTGTGTTTGACATGGTTTATGGTTTGATGGTTTCATGCCATGCCATGTTGAAAATTATAAGGTTGCATTACCCCAAGGTTACATTACATTATGTTATCATGTTACCCCTGGTCACATCCAGCCCAGTCCCAACCATCCCTTCCCAATTCCCTTCCTACTTTTTCCTTGCCCTACCGCACCAATTTGGAAATTTTGCCGAAATTGGTTTTGAGCCATCTAGTTACCAATCCCATCTTACCCATTTTTTCCCCAGCCCCAGTGTGGGTAACTTTGCCCACACTGGTCTTGAGCCAACTACATTACATCCCTTCCTCCCCTTTTTTTTTGAAAGCTGGGAAGTCAAAGTCTTGAGCCATTTTGAGCCAACGTGTTCTTGAGCCAAATGTGTTTTGCAATCATGGGTTGGCAGATACATCGGAATGGCTGCTGCTCTGGCCGTGGGATCCAAAGTTAGATAACTTCAGGATCGGAGAACACACGTTTTCCGAAGGTGCAGGTGGCCTAAAACCAAAAACCAAAAACGGTCTATCGGTCTACATTTAACATCGGCAAGGTTT